GTTATTCTAGGAATAGCCCTCATTGGACAAGACTGAGCATTAAAGCATCCGTTTTCTGAAGGAGACTGAGTGTAATCAGAATCTCTGCTGTAAAAAGCAAAACTAATCCCAGCTCCAGACATTAATGTCCCTCAGAGAGTGGCAGAGGAAAGTAGCAGAGCCCTGGAAGCGCCTAGCAGTTCCAAAGACAGAGTGGCCTGCACAGACAGAAGCCCCCAGGAGGTCTCAGAAGTCTGCTCTGCTCACAGTTGGCCCAGCACAGGGAGCTGGGTCCCAGATCACCCTGACAGCAATAGCAGCACAGGTGCTGAAAACAAATGGGCATTTCCCCAGCCCTACTGCATGTAGAGCTGATGGATGCTCTGCTGGGGAAATTGTCACAGCTGTGACAGCAAACAGCAGGTTGGGTCACTGACAATCCCCTCAGAGGGGATAGAACAGATCTAGCCTCATTCTCAATACGTTTTTATTTTCAGGTGAATCATGGTGTCTCATTTTATGGCCTCAGTCCTGAGATAAAAGAATAGTGTTAAACTTCACAAATCCTCTAATATTGCTGTGCCTAGAGTTGGAGGCCTCGCATATGCAGATATTACTTCTCTGTTGCTCTGAGGTCTCTTTCTAATTTAATACTTTAACGATATTGCAAAATTCATAATGTGGTCTTCTCCAGAGGAAAACAGTTTATCTTCCAGTAAAGGGGGCCTGTCTGAATCCACTGCAGTGGATTCTGCTGTTCCACCCTGTCCCCATGTCTGGGTGGAGAGGTGATGGCTACCATGCCATGTCTGGGTGGAGAGGTGATGGCTACATACCTCTGCATCCAGCCAGGCATTTGGTGTCCATGTCAGCCTCGATGAAGCTGCAGCAAGCACAGGGCAGAGGTTGTGTCTGTGGGTCCTTTCCGTCCTCCAATGGTCTCCACGCCCGCCAGGAGCCCTGACATGTGCAGGAGGAGAGAGAAGGAGGGAGGGAGGGGGACAGAGGGGCTGGCAGCCAGATCTGCCCTTTGCTGTTACTGTCAGATCAAATAGCTGCTAATTGACCACTGTGTCTCCTTTTCCTGAGCTATTAGCCAAGGCACCATGGCAGCTTCCTGACATTAATTATCTGTGAGTTAGCAGGGTCTGAAAGCATAAATAACAATTTGCCATGATGGCAGGGTGAGCTCAGTGCTGCAGGCACTGATGTGGCCACTGTGCCCTGGTGTGGTGGGTGCCATCGCTGGGCCCATGGCCAGCAAGGTGTCAAGCACCACGCAGAGCAGCCAGTTCTTCCCAAAAGCACTCAGAGTTTGGTTGGACTACAATGGTCCAGGGGTGCCCTGCTTCTTGGGCCACTTCAGCAGTACAGCAGTACCAGAGACCTCAGCACCAGACGATGGTGTCAACAGGACCACAGCCCGCTGGTGTGAGCCACGCTGGCTGGGCTTTGCCTTGGTTTGGAAGCCCTGTCTCATGGCCAACGCAAACATGAAATGCAGCACGAGGGTCATTCCTCCAGCAGACCATCACCACAGAGAGGAAAGGATCAAATACAGCAAACCTTGGCACGTGTTTCCTTTCCTGGCAACTCTAAGAAGTTCCCATTAGCCCCGTTGTTTAGAGGGGCTCGGACCATGCCCTCAGCAGCCACCTCTGAGACCAGTATATCTTAGCAGTCAGCAAAGAAACTGCTGCAAAGCAAACGGGCTCCTGGAACTGCACTGAAGGAGCAAGGACGCTCTGAAATTTCCTTGCCTCATTGCAACACAGCTCTGCACAGACCCCCAGCGTGGCCCTCCTGGCCTCACACAGGGGCTGGGACACTTGGACACCTCTGCCCTGAGGGAATGGAAGTGGCCCCAGTCGGTGCTTCCTGCTGCAGAATCCCGAGGTCTGGGGAGTGACACCAAGCCCCCACATCTGGAGCAATGACTGCCAATGACTAGAGGAGAGCACAGGCTGGAAAACAGTAAATTGCCCTGGTTTATATCCCATCAGAATTTTTGCTGATATCTCCTAGTTCTTCATGTCTAATTTGATGACCATATTACTTAAAATTAGAGTTGAATAAGAGGCGCCCTTACCCTTTTATCACCCTATCTGATATGAAGAATGAGTCTAACTTTTGAGAATATCATGAAGATAGATAACTGTAGAATTCAGGTTCTTTAAACCAGTTTCTGATTTAAGGATTGTAACTTTTGGGGACTACTTTTGCTTGCCTCTAATATTCAAGAGACATGCAAAGATTATTTAAAAGTTGTAGGTTGCAGAAGTACAACATCACCCATGACTCCATGAAAGGGGCCCTAAAGAGCATCCTTGCCACTCCCTTGGACAGCAGCATCATCACGGGTGTGGCCCAAGCCATGGACACCATGTAAGAAATGACACCCTAGCTGGCCATAGGGTTTTCCTGGGGCCCTCAAAGGGTTTTCCAGGCCAGCAGCCCCTGTGTAGGCCTGGGATGGCACATCCACTGCCAGAGTGAGCACCTGTTCCCAGGAGGACCCTGTCTTTAGAGGCCACACAGCAGCACCAGTCATTGCTGCTCATGGCAAAAGTATGCCACAAACAAATACAGCAGGATTAGATTGGATTTTTTTTTTGTCAATCTTTTTGCTTTGTTTCAGTGTGGGAGAAAAAAAAAAAATCAAGCCAGAGTTAACATGATCAAGGTGTGAACATAAGCAGCCAGAATGCTGTGAATCACATAAAAGATTTGATCACAGTCAATATCAGCTGCTGAGCTATAATAGCTTTTGTGACTCTCCAAACAGGATTTTAATTTTATGTTTATTATTTGGGGACCAGCAAAGCACAGGAAATGCCCTTGTGGTGGTACAGGCCCCCTTCCCTCTTGTTCTATGGAAGCCTGGGAAGACTCAAGTGCAAAGCAGGCTGACTTTCAACATTTTCAATTTTTGCTTGTGTTCCCCAGGCTTGGCAGGAGAGAGTGAACTTAATTAAAATCAATGGAGAAACAGAACGGAATAAATCACAATATGAATATTCTCAGTGCCTTCATTGAAGCGCTGCACATGGCTCTGTCACACTCAAACAGCGACTCCTTCAAGGCTGGAGGAGCCTCCAGCCCTCTGTTGTGTCCAGCAGCACAGCAGCCCCACTGCAGAGGCTGTGCCCTGCATCCCTCGCTCGGGATGGACAGGACATGGGCAGCAGGCAGGAGGGGTTGCCGTGCCAGCCTGGGTGTGCTGTCCCAGGCACACAGCTTGTTTTCAGCACCCTCGGCCTCAGACCCACCCTGCCCCACTGGCCAGCACAGCCCCTGTGCAGAGGGTCGGCATCCCCCAGCTTTTCAGGCCCCAGGGCTGTTTCCAGCAGTGAAGAGAAGTTGTCTGATTGCTTTCCTCAGTCAGGAAGTTTGGTTAGGCAGAGTGTGTTTTCCACAGCCACACACAGCACCATCCTCCTCATGCTGGCAGTGCCTGGGACACCATAGAGCCAGAGATGGGGACAGGCCTGGGACACAGTTGGAGGGAGCAAGAGTGGGGGTTGCTCCTCGTGGTGGTTCAGCTTCTGAGCCCCAGCACAGACCATGAACAGGCCAGGAAATGAAAGCAAAAGAAGACGTGAAAGAAGGAGAAGGGGATACTGGGAGGGAACTGCCAGTCCCAGCCCCTACTTATTCCCTAATAGGTTGTTTACGGGCAATCTTGGATTGCTTTTCAGAAGCAAATAACAGCTTTTTAGAGTCACCTGCCAGCAGGTGTATGTGGTTTAAAGCTTTTCCACATCAGAACAGAACTGCCATGTATAGTGTGCTGAGTGGTTAGAACCAGCAGGTTAGAAGAGTGCCAGGAGTGCCTCACTCCAGGCTGGCCCCACATCGCAGTGCTTGCCATCCCGGTGCCCACAGGGGCTGTGTTTGGGCCATCCAGGTGTCCGCCTCAGACAAGAGCAGATTTTCTATTGCTGCCCAGCAGGCTCCTCAACAGCCATTTTTCCAAGCTTCTGTGACTGTTACAAGCACTGCACAGAGCCACAAAGCTGAGCAGCAACCAGCTTGTGCCCCTGCAGCAGGGGAGAGCCCTTGGCTCAGTGAGGACCATGACAAACCCCAGAGCCTCAGGCAGGCCCAGGCAGCCTGTCTGCCTCGCCAGCCTCAGTGCTGATCCACCTTCTCCCCACCTTAGGAACCTGCAACCAGCAGGAACCTGCAACCAGCACCATACCAGGGCTCAGTCCTCCCACCACATTTAGCTGCTGCCATAGCTATCATGCAAGAGCAACAGGGCTACCTCTCTCCATATAGCCAGGGGTTCAGATTTCATAAAAAAATTCATTACACCATTGTTTAACACCACATGCCAATCCCTTCCAGATGACTTAATTTGTTAATCACACTTTTAATGGTGGAGACTGTTAGAGGCCATGAGGGAGAGGTTAATATTAGTACCATTTAACTGTCGAAAGCTTTTCATGTTGTAAAGCAGGCACACGGTCGAACAATAAACCTGCAGTGTAATTGGCGGGTAACAGGCCCCCCGGCGCTCGTAGCTCTGCCGCTGACAGCCGTGT